GCGATGACACTGCCTATTACGCCTTTTACAAGAAGCAGCTGCAGAACTCGCTCTCTGGAAGCGGGGCGATGGCCGGCGGCGGTGGGGCCAGCGGCGGTGTAAGTGGTGGCCGGCGGCGGCAGCGGCGGCGGACCGACGAGACCGGAGATACCCAGTCGGCCGACCCGTCAGTGAGCTCGGACGAGCTGCTGGAGATGGACGCCGGTGCCGTGGCGGGCTCGGGCTCGCTCCGCCGCCGACGCAACAAGCAGCGGTCTCAGTGGGGCAGCGGCCGTGACGACGAGCAGCTCTTTCGCGGGACAACCGGCGACCCGCATGCCATGGCCGCGCAGTCGCTGGCCGCGGCCTCGCCGCTCCATGCAGCCCAGCCGTTGGTCTCGCCGCAATGGGGCTCACCGCGGGCAGCTCTTGCAGCGCAGGAAGCCGGCACTACCTTCCGCAACGCGGCCGCCGACGCCTACTCGCCCTACGCAGTCTTCACCGCCAACATGGACCCTGCCCTGCTCGGCGGCGCACCCAGGGTGGTCCACGACCCCCCGCCGATCCCACCCGACGCTCCGGCCCATCTGTGGCAGGCCACCACTCGCCCACATGCGTATGCTGCGCCGGCCCCGCCTCCGCTCGATGTCACACTCGAGGCTGCGTACCGCAGGCGTGAGGATGAGCAAGCTGCACGCCGCCGCCGCCGCCGTAAGCGCGCCGCCGCCGAGCAGATCGAGCGCTCCACCCAGCGGCTTGCCTCAACAGGAGATCTGCTCTCGCCAGAGGCTTCGCGCGAGAATTTGCACGCCGACAGCAACTCAACTGCCGAGCGTGACTTCCCGCATGGTGGCGAGTCGACCGACTCGCTCCATCTACGTCGCAAGTCGCGGCGGATGTCAACGGTCTCGGCCATCTCCGAGGCCATTTCGCGCGAGCCGTCACAAGTCATTGATGGCCTCGATGTCTCTGTCGACATCGGTGCCGAGACCGCGCCAGCTCGCGCCACGGCGACCAATCTCTGGTCCACACCCGACGACGAGCTGGAGCCGCAGCTCACGCCCGATCGACCGCGTGACGACCCGCCGGCTTCTGCTGGCGAGCTGCCTGGGACTCGGATGCCGCCACGGCTGCTGCCGCCCATCGATGATGAGAGCGACCCTGGTGACGGCTGGCGCGAGCGCTCGTGCTCCGACGTCGAAGACTCGAGCGCCCACGACCTGGTCAGCGGTCGCGACTCGTGCTCAGCCTCGCCGCCAGTGTCGCAAGCCAACATCCCGATCTCCACTTTGGCCGACCTTCAACCTCACTCCCGCCACCGCAGCGACTCGGGCTCTGGCTCTCGCTCCGCCTCGGATGGCGAGGCGCGCGCTGGCTCGGATCGCCACTCATGCTCCAACCAGTCCGACTCGCGCTCTGCAGCTTTGACGGCATCTGCTTCAGCGTCGGCCGCGGGCGCGGGCTCGGACCTCTGCTTGCAATCTGGCCCAGAGGCCAGTGGTGAGGCTTCCGCACCTATCAGCGGCAGCTACAGCGGCAAGAGTGACCGCAGTAGCTGCAGGAGTGATTGCAGCCATGGCAGCGGCAGCTGCAGCAGTGGTAGCAGCAGAGAGCACGCCATGGCACGATCCAAGTCGACACCCGCCGCAAGTCTCAAGGGCAAGGGCAAGGGCAAGGGCAAGGGCAAGGGCAAGGGCAAGGGTAAGAGCAAGGGCAGAGGCAAGGAGAAAGAGGGATGTCGTGTTATGTAAAACGTGAACGAGCCCGTGGCGGGGACGGCGTGGCTCGCGGCGGACGGCCAAAGATGTGGGCAGACATGCGGGTGATGTGCTTGGCGTGGACCACGAGGGCGTCGAGCTCGTCGACGGTATAGTAGCCATCGCGCGCGGACGTTGCGCCAAACCGGGCGTGCGAGGCTCGGACAATGAGCTCAGACGCCACAGTGTGGTCGCTGGCGTGCAGCGGGTCAGTCACAGGAAGGCTGCCAAAGCCCGAGTACTCAACGAGAACGTCGTCGACGTCGAGGCGAACCAGAGAGCTCGTATGGCCGATTTCGCGGAGGAGCGCGGCATGCAGGTCCGGCGGCGTCAGTTCAAGCCGAGTAGTGCTCGGAGGAGCCTCTACATCGATGGTTACGTCCGAGACACCGGCGAGCCCGTCGGTGCGGGTGAGGATCGAGCCGAGATCGAGCAGCGAGCTGAGGTCGAGGCGGATGCGGCCGGCGACGCCGTCGCCAACTGCGAGCGTCTTGATACACGTCCCACGCGAGACGATTGTGACGTCTGAGCTCGTCGCAAGCAGAATGTCGAGTGGGAGCAGCCGCGGCGCGAGAGTGAGGACAAAGTCGCGGGCGTCAGCCACCACAACCCTGGCCACCCGCGCCGTGACCACGTACTCGGTGTGCTTGGGCGGCGACTGCAGGACGAGGCACTCGGTGGCGTCGCTCGCCCCATGCCCTCCGCGGGTCGCGATGAGCGAGTCTGACAGCGTCCGCCCCGCGTCGCCTTGCTCTGCTACGGCGCTGGTCGCCAGCGGCGCGGCGCCGATCCGCGACGGCGCGTCGGCGAAGAAGACCGAGAGCGAGCTCTTGCCGGGAGTCGGCGAGTCGTGCGGCAAAGCCAGCAGTGGCATCGATTCATCCGCCAGCGACGATCGGCTTTTGTGCATCTCCCGCTGCATCGAGATCGCCACCGCAGCTGAGTTTGCCGCCGCCTCACCCGCGAGGATCACCAGCCGGCTTGGAGGCGCGAGCCGGTTGGCCACAGCGTGAGCTAGCGGCTGGCTGCCCACAAGCGGCAGCTCGAACAGCGCCGCCACGTCTTCAGCGCTCCGCCCATCCGGTACACTTGCGCACTGTACCATAAACGTGTCCATGCCAATGGGTTGCAGCCGGCCAGTGAGGTGTAGCTATCTTGCCCCCCCCCCCCCCCCCCCCCCCTCCTCTCCCTCTCTCCCCCCCCTCCACACTGACTTGGCTCAGCCCGATCGAGCCCGCATTGCGAGACAGTCAGAAATGCGATCGGGCAAGATGGTCGGCAAGGTGTATGTAGGCAAGTGTGTAGGCGAGTGTAGGTGGTAGTGACACTGCCCAGCCGGACCATCTGCCCCCCGCCATCCTGGCCGGTCGACGCAGTCCACATCTCGGCGCCGGCTTCCGCGCACCTTACCCTTCCCCACCCCTTTCACCTGACCCCATCACCATGAAGACATACCTCTGTCTGGCGGCAGCCGCAGTGCTTGCCATTGCCACATGTGCGCTAGCGACACCGACGCCCCCCATGTGGGGCACGTGGGCGTCCCAGTTTGAGCTTGTACGTACCGCACTCCTCCCCTCCCGCCTCCTTCCACATGTTTGAAGCCGCTCTCTCCGTGCCTGCCCGTGCCGGCTGGGTTGCAACGCAAGCCGGTCACAGGTCGGCGGAGCAGATATCTATGATGGCCAAAGCCACGCAATGGCGACTCACTGCACTCACAACATCTACGTCACACACGATGCATCTCTGTCTATCTGCTGTGGCTGCTGTGGCACGGGGTGGGGGGGGTGGGGCGGCCGGTTGCCTCTCCTCCGTTTCATTCGTCGCCTTTTTTTTTGGTTCCCTTTTCCTCCGATGGGGCGGACTGCCACGCGCACAGAAGGAGTTTAACCCTCAGGCCAACAACTGGATGACGACAACTGGCTCGTACTACTATTCACCGTTGGCCTCGCTGGTGGCGTATGCCAACGCGAGCGCCGAGGCGTTCTGCGGCTCGACGGGGATCGGCGCCGGCACGCCATGCTACCAGCTTGCCAACTCGGACGCGCGGTTCCTGTACTTCCCAGAGGCAGGTGACTCGGACAGCGGCGAGTGCTGCAAGTGCTGCACCGTCGAGCAGGGCTGTGGGCCACTCAAGCCGTCGTGGATGGCCGATGCCTCGTTCGAGGGCACAGTGACCGCCCAGGGCGTCACCGCCGACAAGTGGCTGATTGCCGGCAACGAGGACAACTACTACTATGACATCTCCGACTCGCACATCCCGCTCCTCCTCAACAACTCGGGCTTCCAGATCTTTGGCTTTGTTCCATCGTCGTACACCACCCTCGTCCCGATGTCAATCTTCACCGTTCCGGACATCTGCCAGGGCTCGATCGACCAGTGCGAAGGCGTCTGCGGCCGTTTCGGCGCCAGCAACTGATGGTTGCCACACCCGCCCCGCGCATCCCCCCCCCCCC